GAGAAAAAGGGCTAAAGAGAGGAAAATCCAAAAGTTCGAAAAAAACCGGCGAAATCTAGCAAAAACAGCCTTCGAGAGTATGACTTCGAAATAACCTGGTGCCCCAAGGAAATGAGATTTAATGATCGATAGCAATTTGAGTATTCTACCGACAACTAGATTAGGTGTTGGGAAATAATGATTTTAGCAATATATTCTTACTATTATATAGGATGATTTGATGATACACTGCCTCAAATTTAATACAATAATGTCTGAATAATGATAATATTTCTAATATCAGGCCTAATAATGACAAAAGAAACACAATTATTTAAACGATGCTATCAAATTGTGTGTTCCATTATTTCGCAACCACAGACTTGTGAATCGTGGTTTTATAACGACAGGTGAGGACTGGGGGGTTAGAACGACAGAGATTTGCAAGTGTGGCTAAAGCTGGTACAAGAAGGTCATCCCCACTACTACTGTCGAGAATCATTTCTACCAAGTTTGGCACTAGTCGAAGCACCCATGCTTCAACACGTGAAATCTGGAAATTCATATTCACCTACACTTTTGCAGGGAGCCTATAAGCTTTGACTTTCATTGTGTGATCAAAAAACAATCACTTCCATCCTAACAAATTTTATATAAAATTTTATATTTTGATAAAGACAAAAATTAACATTATCAAATTTAGACATTGTACAGTAACATGCACTGGAGTTTCTTCCTTAAAAGAACAAAAACGAAAAGAATATAAACATGAAAAGAAGGTTTTCGCTCAGTGTCTGCCTGAATTCAAGAACCTTTGGTCTTCTGGGTAATTCTTTACGGTACAGATGCACCTGCCAGAGACTAAGTCCCCAACTCCACCCGACAATCTTGGGGGATATGTGGGAACCAGGGGTTTGGGGAGAGGAGGGATAAAGAGTGGGCCCAGCTTGATTTCAGTGTTAGTAAATGACAAAAGTTAATTATGAATGCAATGAATTACAACTTTTCCGAAATGAGTGTGTCCGATTATGGCGCCATATTTGAATATGAAAGCGCAAGTGAATACGGTAACCAACACAAAATTTACTCAACTGTCCAAGTTGTGGTGACTGGGCACCTTCGGATATGCCCGTGGGGAGGGTTGATGGGGGCTCCGCCCCCCAACACCCCCCGAGAAACATTCTCTTCATCTCGGTATGCACAGCTAGATAGAGCTGAAAACAGTACAGAAAATTGCACTGCACTTTTCACACTTTCATTTGGATGATTCCATGAATCTGTAAAAATTTTATGATCTTTTCAGTTTTTCCATTAAATTTCGATAGAAAAGTCAAGCACACCACCGTAACACAAATGACACACAATGGTCATTGTCACTGAGAAGAATGAGGCATGGCACCGGTGTAGCCAGAAATGTGCGGTGTGTTAAGTATCGACTGTATTCGAGTAGTTTGACAATTAAGGATATTAATGAGTTAGCCAAAATTAAGGAACAAAAATACACATCTTAACATAAAAAAGGGCTGAGACATGGAATATATATGAAATGTTAGTCGACATCGTGTGCATTTTCATGATATAGTTATATGGAATACTATGCTTGAACTTTAATGAGGAATTAAAAATCTTTGCTAAACTGCCGCCTCCTGACTGGTCGTGAGGTAGTGGTGACATAGGTGCGCAGTAGGGCAGAAAATGGTGTGCGAGCTGCGCCGCAACTTGTTCTTGCTCGCCGAGCGAGTGGACTTAGCCGCTGGAGCGCCGAGTGGACTTAGGCTGTGAGCGACACTTTCCGCGACCTTTTTCCTCTATTTGTGGTGTTACCATTCGTGTCTGCAGATTATTTCTTGTACCAACCTCTATTACTTTTTGTCCTCTACAAGAATATCATCTTCAATTTACCCGAACTTAGTGTGGCCATACCGTACAGATTTTCAGTCTTCTGAATTATCTCTCATGGTTAAGATGCAGCTGTTAAGTGCTAACACTGTAAACTCAAGAAGTTCAGAGGAAGTATACTAAACAATGATTGGTACAGTACTAAAATGGCAAAGGTTGTTAAATAAAGACAGAGACTGAAACCTATGGAAAAATAATAACTAAAATATCAGAAAATGCCCGCAGTAGAGTATTGGAACCAATGAGATTTAACCAAAGGACAATTAGTTGACACTCACATGCCTGTCATTAGCCAACAAGCACCTCTGAACCTGTCAGTTCCCATCCTATAATTATTCTAACAAGACTGAGTTTGTGGATAGCAAATTCCTTGCCAGAACACAGGTGACAGAGATGAGGACAGTCTTGCTTTAAAAGCCCATTGTGGACATCATCTTAACCTTCAGCACAGATGATGGCTTTCCCTTACCTTTATCCCATAAGAGATTTCTTGAAGCAACTGTAATGTTTTGCCAGCTTTATCCTTGCTTAACTTCGAAGAAATCAAATATTCACTTAAGATAGGCACCACTTTGATTTCATCTCTGGAAAAGAAAAATATGCTTTTATTATAAGCAGAGGATAATTAATTTACAAAGAAAAAGCACAAATAAATGCTGGAAGTAAAAAGAAAAGAAAAAAAAAAAAAATGCAAAAATTGCTCTCAACAAAGCAAAGGCACATGAAGACAAGTGTAAATATACTATCTCATACACCACAAAAGCTCTTATAAAGCGAGGCAATATCAAATACAAACTTGAACAAGATGGTTATTAACCTTTCTTACCTCAGAGCAATGCGTATGGTTGGCGAATGGCAGATGTGAGCCAATAGGCTTATGACCTTCCAGGCTAGAGGCGATCTGGCATCGGTCAAGCTCAACAGCTGCTCCAGACAGACATAGAACTCTAGTGTTTCCATGCATGTTGGCTCAAAGGCATGCAGGTCACTTACCACTGATAAAATCTGGAAAATGTGCTTCTCTTAAGAATGTGAACATATCTCTAAGAGAGAGAGAGAGAGAGAGAGAGAGAGAGAGAGAGAGAGAGAGAGAAGGAGAGGAGGAGGGAGCGAGGAGGGAGAGGAGAGAGAGAGAGAGAAGAGAGAGAAGAGAGAGGAGAGAGAGAGAGAGAGAGAGAGAGAGAGAGAGAGAGAGGGAGAGAGAGAGAGGGAGGGAGGAGGAGGGAGGGAGGAGGGAGGAGAGGAAGGAGGGAGGAGAGGAGGGAGGGAGGAGGGAGAGGGAGGGAGGGAGGGAGGGAGGAGGGAGGAGAGGAGAGATGAGAGAGAGAGAGAAGAGAGAGAGAGAGGACGGAGAGAGAGAGAGAGGAGAGAAGAGAGAGAGAGGGAGGGAGAGGGAGGAGGAGGAGGGAGGAGGGAGGGAGGGAGGAGAAGGAGGAGGGAGGAGAGGGGAGAGGAGGGAGGGAGGGAGAGCGAGGGAGGGAGGAGGGAGGGAGGGAGAGAGAGAGAGTGAGAGTGAGAGAGAGGAGAGAGGAGAGAGAGAAGTGAGGAGAGAGAGAGAGAGAGAAGAGAGGAGAGAGAGAGAAGAGAGAGAGAGAGAGAGAGAGAGAGAGAGGAGAGAGAGAGAGAGAGAGAGAGAGAGAGAGAGAGAGAGAGAGAGAGAGAGAGAGAGAGAGAGAGAGGAGAGAGAGAGAGAGAGAGAGAGAAGAGAGAGAGAGAGAGAGAGAGAGAGAGAGAGAGAGAGAGATGTAACCTACACATTCATATACTGAAATCTATGCAGACATAAAAAAAATACAACTAACAAGCATCTTAGCTATAGCTTAGCTTACTATATATCTATATATGAAACCAAATGTATATATGATGTAGGAAAAAATCACCTGCAACTGCCTCTGAAGTTGTGAGAGATTCTTATCTGTCTTTTTTCTTAGGTAATCGTAGGCAATATATATGAAATTCTTGACCTGTGGGCTGGTACTCCCCATGACTGCTGTGACAACACCACACTTCCATGCCTTTGAGACCAAGAAAATGTCCTATATGGGGTTATAGTAAAAATAACACACTATGTATGGTAATAATTTCAAGTTTACCAGTCATGGAGGAGATGCTAGACACACTACTGTAATATGTAATAAAAATTTAAAACATGATAAAATGGAAGCATTGTATATTTAAGGCCATGTTTCCCAAACTTTCTCAGGTGTGACCCTAAAGACAGTCTTAGCCTGGGCTAGTGACCCTACATGTGTAAACATGTAACATATGCAACCATTATCATGGTAGTTATACTTGCAGATGTATATTTACATTATTCTTTACTTTTAAAAATTTAAATTACCAACACAATGAATTTCAATATACAAGTGTTAATAAAAAAAACATGAACTTTTACTGCCATACCCAGCAATAGTCTTCTATTCTTCTTTTAATACCCACTGGTGACCTGCATTTGGGTTGCGACCATGGGGTTGGGAACCAATGATTTAAGGGATACATGGCAAGAGATTAACTTAAAAGTACTGTGAGAAACATTAGTAACAACCAAAATAGATTACAAACATAAATCTTATCCAAACAGACTGTAAAAAATAATATAGGAAAACAAAAAGAACAAAACTAAATATGATAAGTGATCATGAAAAAAAAAAAAATCTAAGATAAAGTCTGTAAATAAAGAAGAGCAAATGAAGTTACCAAAAAAGATGCCAAGTATTTCCACTCTTAAATCAAAGACAAATTAAAGGAAAGAATAGAAATTGGACCTCTTGAAAATAAGACCTTGAAATCAGAGGAAAAATAGGAATATAGACACACTGGTTTTCCCAAATCACAAGCAAAAGAATGAATAAGTATCGCATTTTTGAATTATTTGTTAGAAGTGGTCATATAAGGCTTATTGCTTGGTTATTGAGGACGTCTAAAACAACTTGTTTTTTTTCCTTTACACAGAGGCCAGGACACTTAATAGTTTACACATGGAAGTTCACTGAAAACCAACTCCAAGAGACAGAAGGGTTTTGTTAACGAGAACGATGCCTTATAATCGCTCTCTTTATCAGAAAACGGACCAACATTGCAGACTAAGACTATTTCTTATGGCTATATGAGGGCAGTGTCCC